ATTGAAACTTTAATCCACTCAAATGTATCAGACCAAAAGGCTCTACTGAATGAACAGTCAAAGAATAAATGTACTGTCGTTTCAATATCAACATCACAAAAGGTACAATTATTGTGATCAATATGATTAGTTCATCTCTCGAATCTTCGGGTTTGAGTCGTTCATTCATCACGTGACAGCCCCATAAACTTAACCAATGCAGTCTGAGCCGGAAAGAGAATTGATTAGTTCATCTCTCGAGTCTTTCGAATCGTTCGTTCTTTTGTCACGTGACGTGACAGCATTGGATAGAGAAATTAGTTAATTTACAAGTTTCCTTGCAAACGGGTGCATAGTTATTATTATTATTATCATCATTATTATAATTATTATTTACTCTTACAGTTACGTGATGCGTTTCTGGTCTCAAATTGTAGCTTGTTACTTCTTACAGTTTATAAATGTGTGAATTTCTGTCATGATGGATCTTTTCCACAACACTGAATGTTGTAACAAAGGTAATAAAGAGTTGGTTATTATTATTAAGTAGGGATCGGTATCGGGCCTGATACTGGTCTCCTGTACTCGTACTCGTACTCCTTAAAATGCCCCGATACCAAACACCGATACCACACAGCATGTGATAAGTGCCATATTCAAACAAAGAAACACAGACAACTCAAATGTGATCGAATCTGCAAATTCTCAATTATTATGTTTTTATATCCATATAGAAATCATGCCTTATGAATATTATGCTTTATGAATATTATGCCGCATGAATTTTATGCATTATATCTTTGTGATTCTTTTATTATTAATTTAATATTTTAATATATCTAACATATTATCCATGTATTCTATGATTTTAGTATTAATCTGTGTGTGCTGAACATTTAAGGATGCTTACTTCAACTTACATTGTTTAACTTTTGATCTGAGGGCCCCTTTGTGTTAACAGTTGCATGGTAGGCATCTGGGTTCCTGTCGTCTCAGTAAATTTAATCTTCTCCTATGTCTAAAAAAGGAGTTGTTACTTTTCTCTGAAACCCAAGGGACAAGATGTTCTCGAGACATAGTAAATATAGTAAATATAGATTGTCTAGCTCCTTCTAGGGTCTAAAGGTGTGAAAACCACAATGTTTGTATAAGTTGCCGTTTACATGCACTGAATTCTAAATCATTGTGTCCCTTAGGGGGCCCAGTATCTGCTTATCTGATCTTGCTGCAGTGTAAGAGTATATGAATTTTCTATTCAATGTTTATTTGATTTATTTTACTAATGTAGAATTGTTTTACTCGGAAATACTCAGAGATATACTTAAAAATACTTAGAAATATTGTAAGAGGTCTGATTGATTTTGGATATTAAAAGATAATTTTTCAGTTTCAGTTAATGTCATTTATTATCATTTCTGCTTTCTTTGGTTAGTGGAAGAAATTATAAATAAATTTTAATTCATCTGCATCGACGCTGACTGGATCTCCTTTTTTGCGTTAGAACCATAGTCAGAGCTATGCAAATTAAAGAACGATTAAGGAAAGCTTACCTGTCTGTTAAGATCCTGACAAACTTACCATTGCACCTTTGAAAGCATCTAGCAAACTGCATCACGCAATGTGGTATGGCATCTGCACTGTCTGTGATCAGAAAGCCCTCTAGTGGCCGGGTGATGAAAACCAGCCAACACATCCCTGGAGACCAACTTCCTTCCATTAAAGGGATAGTTCACCCAATTACCCCCAGGGCATCCAAGATGTAGGTGACTTTGTTTCTTAAGTAAAATACAAATTATGATTTTTAAGTCCAGCCGTTGCAGTTTATCAGTCGTATAATGCATGGCAATGGTAACAAAATCTATGAGAGTAAAAAAAACATGCACAGACAAATCCAAATTAAACCCTGCGGCTCGTGACGACACATTGATGTCCTAAGACACGAAACGATCAGTTTGTGCGAGAAACCAAACAGTATTTATATAATTCTTTACCTCTAATTCAACACTATGTCCAACTTCCTTCAGCGCGCGCACGGCATCCGGTGCGTGAGGTGTGTACGCGCTCTGGCGTAGTTTACGTTAAAGGGTGTGTTGATATCCAGCCGAAGAGCAATCAACCATAACTTCAGGCGAGCAGGCTCAGAAGTTGGGAATACGTGGAAAGTCACCACTCCCGAATGAGTTCGCGCGAGAGAACGTAATCTTTTAGTTTTAAGTCTGTTTGAACAATCCGGATAAGCGCAAGTAAGTACCATTTTGATTAGCCATCGTATCTACAATATTTGTGCACTGTGTAAACAATGAGTGACGTATACGTGCGAGAGATCACTTCCGGCGCTTGCGTAAACTATGCCAGAGCACGTACACACCTCACGCATCGGATGCCGTGCGCGCGCTCAAGGAAGTTGGACATAGTGTTGAATTAGAGGTAAAAAATTATATAAATACTGTTCGGTTTCTCGCACAAACCGATCGTTTTGTGTCTTAGGACATCAATGTGTCGTCACGAGCTGCAGGGTTTTATTTGGATTTGTCTGTGCATGTGTTTTTTACTCTCATAGATTTTGTTACCATTGCCATGCATTGTACGACTGATAGACTGCAACGGCTGGACTTAAAATCATAATTTGTGTTCTACTGAAGAAACAAAGTCACCTACATCTTGGATGCCCTGGGGGTAATCAGCAGATAAACATCAAATTTTCATTTTTGCGTGAACTATCCCTTTAAGGACACTTATTACAGACGTTGCGTAGGATAAGAAGTCAAAGACGCTTCTCACTCCCACCATAAACCGTTCTTTCTTCTTCCATTTGGCAAGCGCTACAGGGGTCTCCACTGCTGAATCAGCATACTCAGGAAAAGCTTTTTCCCTTCAGCTGTCAGCCTGCTGAACACATCTCAAAAAACAATATGTCAAAACAAAACAAGACAAAAAACTATCACATCATTCCAGTTGCACTTGGTAAGGGTTACTTTACACTCTTCTGCTGCTGTACTTCATGCGCCTTTTTCCATTTGCACTGTACATAACATTTTGCAAATCATTTCTGCTTATTTGCAATGACTGGTCAACTTTCTACATATACTTCTAAATCTACATACAACTTTCTACATGTAGCCTACTACTTTACATACATTTTTACACTACACACTATTACACTTAGCACCTCTTGTTACATGCTTTTGCAATGAATTGGCTTTGTACTGTACTCTGCACCATGGGAGTATTTGACAATGACAACTTCACAAGATTGTGAAGGACAGTACAATATGTTAGGCTTAAGTAAGGACTGGTCATCATGATTAATCTTGATCAACGGTTTACAGTTTTATAGGTTCGTGGTTGATTACTTTAAACCAGAAGGCGAGAACATCCTGGGTGGAAGCTGCTTATCATTTTAATGCAGTGAGCAGAACTCCAGTAGAGAGACAACAAACAAATTCAATATATGGTTGTAGTGTACCCTTGTTACGTGGCAATTTATGACCATTGTCCTCAGCTTCTAAAACATGGTGATGGTGTTTGTGGGTACTCTGATGGGGCCATATGGTGGCGCTGTCAATCCCACTTTGAAACATATAATCTTAAATTTGAGGTGAACAGCTTTGAGTCTTCATTACAGAGATGAATATTATGTGTGGGATCATGTGTGTGTAGCTTTCCACATGGAGCCAGGGTGGGTGTTGCATGTAGACCAGGACAGGCTGTTAAAAAGAATGAATGTGTGTGAAACGTGACTAAACCTTATCTTCTGAGACTCCACTGAGTTTACACAAGCCTGAGCATATAGCTGATTTTAAGGCCAAAATAGGCTAGATTGAAACCACAGACCATGTAGATATTACATTCACAAGGAATTGCATATGCATGCTAGTTTTTACCACTTGCCTTCAGTAAATAGGTTAGGTGCACAGATGTCATGATAAAAATACAAAACCTTAAAAAAAAATTTTTTTCAGTGCCATATTTTTTCAATCAATTTTAAACTTTTAAGACATTTATACATTTTTTAATTTCATATCTATTGTAAACTTGGCAATAACATTCTGAGGCTGATGATGCAAACTTATGCAACAATTATCTAGTTGCAGCCTACTGTTTTTGGCTTGTTTGATTCATTATTAATGCGTCTTTGCACTGATCATCATAATTAAGTGAAGAATGTATCACATTTTAGCATTCATGCAGATGCCAAGATAATGCTTAAATAAGCTTTTTCAAATAGAATGAACTTTTCTGTTTTACATGTACGTTCACATTGTATTTACAACCTCTACCATGAGCTACTGAGATATTTTGTACAAACTATTCAACAACAAAAAAAGTACTTTTAATTCTCTCCACCAGAGGTCTATGTTGGCTAGCTGGTTATATTGCTTTGTCACATTTTCACTAAAACCTTGCTGATAATTTCTGTCACTATTACTTTGATTTGTAACTGTAATTGTTTTTCTTTTAAATATTTTTTTTTAATGTTTATTGTTTTTTTTAATGTCATTTTAGTCTAATATACTTAAAACTAATGTCTAATTGCACTAAAAAAATCTGTTTACCTGTTTGAATCTGATCACTTAAACTGTTTTGAATCTGATCTGAATTAACATTGATCAGTGATATTACTTGATGTCTAGTTGGTCTGTTGCTAAACCAGTAAATATGACTATACCACAGTAGCAGGCTTTCTAGTGTTCATCTGGTAGGTAAGCAAGATTCATATATCCACACTCACATTATTTTGGCACAATGTCCAAACCCCTTTTTTATTTCCATGTTTCTTTAAATAGAGATAATAATGATAACAACAGAAATGCCTTGAGCAACTGCATCGAGGTCAGTGGCACACTCTCAATAGAAAGTGATTGTCATTAGAGAAAATGATGTATACTTTTGTTACGTATAATTTAAACGCTTGTACGGCACATTCATGCTGTCGGTTTGTATTTAGTTTAACTCAAGTGTGTGGTTTCAGCTCAATGCTTCCAGCTGAAAGCAGCAATGCCAACACCATATAAGGTCACGTGGCTTATACAGATGATGTCATCATCACAGTCCTGACTGGAGAATCTCCTTTGCCCTGTACAAAGTGTGAGAAAGAAAGGGAAGAAGGTGTGGTGAAGAGGAAAGAGAAAGAAGAGAGCATACATTTGTAGGGAATGCTTAATGGACTCAACTGAAGCTTGCTTGTAAGATGTTTCAGTGTGTGGCTACCAGAGGATGAAAAGCTAGATGCTACTTGGTTAAACTGGAAAAACACAAGAGAGAAGAGTGAAGCATTGTAACTGCTGCCAGGAACTGTGACAGTGAGGGAACTGCTTCGCTTAGAGTAGTCTTCTTACCATGGGGAAGTCAGGTAAGTGCACAATTCACTTCCAAATCCCTGTCTTGCTTTAGCATTTGTGATGTTGTCAAATATATATTTTCTTCAGTCTCTGTCACTACCATCCTCTGCTGTTGAATGAAGTTTTGTCAGCACAGGTTGAGTGTATGCCAGCTTTATCACGCTGTATGTGTCTGCTGGGGATTGCTAGCTACTCAATCCTTGCTTTGTTTGAGTGATAGCATCATGTAGTTGGATTTATGCCTCCGCAAGAGTGGCAAGCACAACTGTTTGGTAACATTTGTCCAGTCTAAAAGTTTTTGAATGTCCAGGTTTTTTTTATAAAAAAGATATTATTTTCCAAAAGTAATAAAATATATTATATATAAACGATTGTTTGTTTAAAACAGTTCAATGTAATTATTATTATTTATTTTTAATTTTTAGCAGAAATACATTTTGAAATTTTATCATCAAGAAAAAAACTGAAAACCTTTCAACATTTTATTCTAACACAAAGGACCACACGTGATTGAGGGCTGTGTAAATGTTGCATTACTGTGCAACCAACTACACTGTTAAAATGTACATTTAAAAATAATCAAATTCAGTTAAATTCTCTACATTTCAAAGCAAAACAAAACAAAAATGGCTTGAAATTAAGATACGGCTTGTTTTTTCGGCGGGCCAAATGAAAGGACATCAAGGGCCCTGGTTTGTACATCTCTGTTCTCAAGCTAGTACTAGCCTTAAGTGATACATATTTTATGCTGTATGTTTGTTGAGTTTAGCAAAGAGTAAAAAAAAATTGCAGAGCTTTCTAATCTCTTGCTATTGATTCCCTGTTGACTTTGCAGCCTCCAGGCTTTTTTGTGAGGAGGTAATGAAGACTCATAATGAGTACAGGAGAAAACATCAAGCCCCACCTTTAAAACTCAGCAGTAAACTGAGCCGTGAAGCAGCACGGTGAGATCATTTCTTTCATATGCTTGTCCTGCATCTTTACTACAGTTTAATGCTCTTCAATTAAGCTGAACTCATGTGTCTTGTAGATATGCTGAGAGCCTTGCTAGCACCAGGATTCTAAAGCATAGTGCCGAGTCTAGTCGAGGAAACTGTGGAGAAAATTTAGCATGGGCATCTTATGATCAATCAGGTATGAATCCTCTTCTGTTTCAAAATGACCATCTGAAATATATTTACATGGATGTGAGTGCAGACTGCCGTCCTCTCCTCTTTGCATCTTTGCAACAGCTGGGAATCATTATGAATGGACTACTTCCATATTCAGTCTAAAGCTAATAACTAAGTAGATTGGAATGTCTGGCCAGTCTGGGGTGATTTGTAAAATGTCACTAAATGTATAGTGGGTCATATAAAGCTTTAAGTTTTATCTTGGAATCTCCAGCTGGATTTACTATAATATTGTAATTAAACCAGATTTCAAAAATGTTCAAACAAACATTCTACAAAATAAGGAATTCAGGATTATTTGAACTTGAACTTCATAATAACTTAATTTTTCACATGAGAATCTGTGTATGTTTGTGTGCATGTGCCAGCAGGTAAAGATGTGTCTGATCGCTGGTATAATGAAGTGAACCAGTACAACTTCAACCAGCCAGGATTCTCCTCTGCAACTGGTAAGAGTATTTACAGCAGTGGCACTCCTTGAGATCTACTTGCTTGCAAAGTTTACTTCCAGCTCTTATCAAACACATCTGAACCAGCATCTTAAGGTCTTTCTGTGCATTAATGCTAGACTTTGTACTTCATTCACTCCCATTCCATACAGCCTGACCAACTAAACACTGCCCAAAACCCCTCTAAAATCAGTCAAATGACTAAGACCAGAATACCTGGTTTAAGAAGTTTTTTTTAGCTGAGAAAGAATGTTAACACTTTTTATTAACCTCATCAGTTTAATAGTTTATTACAACAGAAGCACTAGTGAGGTACATTGTGTCCTCTTGTGTCATCCAAAATAATTTTGCATTGATTTAAACTTTGCAGGCATGTTGATTAACATCAACGGGATTGAGCACCCTTTTTTTATATTCATAAACCCTGTTTTATAACCAAATATAATACAAACCCATACAGCAGATAGGTTTAGCCCAGACAGTGTAATACAATATTTTTTTTTAATTTGTACAACGTGACTCATCCTATTGGAATGAAGCTTTCCAAAGCCCTCCCAGGCACAGGAAATTTCCCATGAAATTCAGCTATGAGAAGTCTCTTACAGTGTGATGTCTGACTTACAGCTGTTAACTCACCCCCTCAGCTTTTATTCACCTCGCTTGTTATCAGCTTCAGCCTGCAGGAAATGAGTAATACTACCCACCACCTCAAGAGGACAGAACACATTTGAAGGAATCACAATCTTCTGAAGTGACTATATAGATTGTGGATAATGTCTATACTGACTCTAAACCTGTAAATATGTGGTTGGGAATTTAGGATTGGGTGTTCCTGTAAGCATATGGTGTTGTCAACATCAAAACTGGGGGTTTGATTCCCAGAGTAAACACAAAGTGATGAAATCACCAGTAATTAGCTTTGGATAAGCATCTGCCAAATGCATAAAATGTACTTGAGTCCCTTATGCCACTCAAATGTTTCCACTCTGTCTCTCAGCATATAAATATTTAACTTAGCACAAGCACCACATGGTTTATGTGAGGCAAACATGCATAAATACTTTGTGACAGCCATATGGACATCCTATTCCTCATTACAATACACACCAATTAATGTCGGAATCATCGTTTTGTTCTAGGTCACTTCACTGCAATGGTGTGGAAAAGCTCAAAGGAACTTGGTGTGGGTAAAGCTGTGGCCTCAGATGGTTCTACCTTCGTAGTGGCACGTTATTTCCCTGCCGGCAACATTACTAATCAGGGCCACTTCCAGGCCAATGTCCTGCCCCCTAAAAGCTGATTCAAATGTATCTGGACACAGTGAGAATGAAGGTAGGGAGGGGAACTGAAAGAGGATGGGGAACAGCTGAAATTGGAGGTTGGTTTACCTGGAGGACCAAACGCAGTGATGGTTGGCTTTAATACACAGATCTTACTTGAATAAAGAGCTTCTATCTTTACATTTTCAGGCTTTTATTAACGTGAATATAAAGAGGCTTACATTAAACTAAAATGTTAAAGCTAATGCTGGTTATATAGTTAACTTTTCCATAAAACTAAATTCTCATAGTGGTAAGGTCATTGTGTACCTGTGTGTGCATGGGTGATGTCAGCATAACAGTATTATAAATGATTTTTCATGAATGAAGCAAACACAGATATAATCACGTACCTCCACTGCACTAAAATCTAATGTGGAGATTTCTTTGGGATGCCGTTTTCATGCTGAATGTGAAAAGTGTGTGACTCCACAGGACATTTAAATGCATGTTGCAGAAAAAAGTTTTGTTAATGTTCATCCCTTTATATCATAGACTGATAATTCATCATTATTACTTTGGTCATCTTTTTGTTTTTGTATATTGATGTGGATTAAAATCGACTGTTCAAATAGTCTAGCTGATGTCATGTTTGCATTCAAAATTGAGTAAAAATATTATCTGATTTGTAGTTGCACAATCCATATAATTTGCTCAATTACAACATGCTAAAAACATGCTTCTGTGCACTATTTCTGCATTCAAGATAAGAAATACACACACACCCCAGGGGAAAGTTCTAAAAAAAACAACTTCAGGTCAGATTCAAACCATCAGCTTTGAGGATATAAGCTTTTATTTCTACAATCTTCTGATCTACCATCTGAGCCATTAAGGCAATATTAAAAGTTTGTTCAAAATGTATAACGATACACTTTTGTTTGTAAGGTGCATTTATATGATTCGTAGATAATGTTGGGAAACGAACAGCTCTGGTTGTAACGGATTTATTTCAGCAGGAGTTTGGGCGGCGCAATATAGCAGCATTACTTAGGGAAGAAAACACGCAAGGGGCGGGGAAGAAGTCTTTTCCTCTTTTACATGGTCAGCTCCTGAGAATAGACACAAAAAAACAAAAGATCGATTAGCAATTAAAAGGTTTGCTCATGTTTTTGAATTGTTGCATTTGCAGGGACCAGATGACTCAAAATGCTCTCACAAATATAGTAACACTTTAAAAAACAGCAATCACTGATAATGAAAAAACTAAATGAAGGGATTATTCACATAAATTAAGTTTTTTTTTATCTTTTTTAGCTAGCCCGAGGTCCTGGGGCAATTGTGTTTTCCAGTCGGGCTAAGTTCATTTGACCTATAATTTCATTTGACCTATAATTCCTGATAAAGCAGCGTTTATGAGCGCTGAGCTGCTTTGTGTACAGCCGTTACCGGGGAAACCGCAATATTTCAGCTCCTAAAGTGCCACCTCGTGGCAGAGAATGAATTTGCATTTCCAATAAGCATTTCTTGCCGTTTATGGGCAGATCAATGCAAATATCAACTCATGTTTTTATGCAGCAAACACAGAGTTGTAAATGAGAAAGAAGATTGTTTTTGTGAAAACCTGTATCTGAACTGTAAATCATGTAAATTTTATGGCTCAATACTGTGTTACCATAGACATTGTTCAACCCCACTCGTACTGTTCATTGTACTTGTGCAGCTCTTAAAACGGGTCATAAATTGCCTTAAATTTTTTTTTTTTTTAATTCTGCAGATACCCTGTAAATAGTGAAATAAAATTCCTTCCTTCATATTTGTGTATTGTCAATCCAAAATATTTTCATTTAAACTCCTATCTGATTTTCTATATTAAAAAAAAAAGGTATTTTTATTTGGGCTAGTTAAATAAATTATCGGGCTACCAAAATCTGAAGAGTACCTGCCCGAAGGGCTACCAGGGATTTTGAAATTTTGCGAGCCCTGCACTGGATGTACAAATGCTGAATGGCTAATATAAAAGCAATCTCTCACCATAATGGCATTGACGATGTCATTCTTGTTGTGGCGCAGTGCACGGACTGCTTTAGCTCGAGACACATTGGCCTGTGCCATCACCAACTCGATATCTCTCTGCTCCAACCCACCCTCATCCAGCTTACAAAGAGCAAAAGAGAATATGGTTCATATTAATTCAGCTGCTTCATTCATGCAAGCATATTATTAAAAGGAAAAGGCCATCCAAAATGGTGTCATTAATTTTGTTGTTATTTACTGACAATTTTTTTCCACAGAAACAAAGAAAGTCATAAAAGTTCGGAACGAGATGAAGCTGAGTAAATAATTCCAGAATGTTCTTTTTTTTTGGTGAACTATACTTTTAATGGAGGAAATGAAAGATTTATACCTCCTCTTCTTCCTCGCTCTCTTCTTTTATGGTCAGGCTTGGTGTGATGTCTGATGGGAGAGGTGAGGGGTCAAGAGGAACCTTAAATTTCTCTGCTGCTGCCTTGTGTACCTGCTGTGACAGGTCTTCAATCTTACAAAGAGAAGAGACAGACAGAGTGCACAGATGAAGACAAACACAGATCAAGATTTAAATATTTAAAGGTTCCCTGAAATGCTTAGAAACACGCAGTGTTACTCTGTGTTGACGTCATTTTAACTGAAACGGGAAGACAAGGCGGGACATATCAAGCCGCCCCGCCACTTTTTAAAATAGCCAATAGCGTTCGTTTATATCACAGCTTGGGCTGGAGCCGTTGAGTTCTGTAAGGCCGCATTTGACAGGGTATGCCAGCTACAATCTCATCCATATTGCTATAAAATATAGCATTCTGTGTAGAATTCAAATAGCTCCGATACATTTTATGGTCTGCGCCGACTCGCGCATGTGATCCGCTCCGTGCTATCGTGTCTCTGGACCGGAGCAGAGTGTGTGTGCGGTGCGGTGGTTAAAGTGTCACAGCGCGAAACCAGCCTTCTTTCTTTCCTCAATGGAAAGCATATTTACACTGTTTGAATCGTTCCCTGTCCCCTATATAGTGCGCTACGTGCCATTCACTGTACAGAAAATACTAATTCTGTGGACAAGTGACCGATTTCAGCCCTGGCTTCAGCGTCTATTTGATAGTGTAGGGGGCGGGCGCTTCGGATTCTAGAGAGCATTTGATTGGACAGAAAGTTTGATGAGAAGCTGAAGTACAATGTGACGTCAAAAAAATCGTTGAGCCGTTTTGGCGGAAGTGACGAACTGCAAGCTTTGAATGCTTATATCTTCTAAATGCAAATTTTGTCACTGTTTTGGAGCACACTGCCTTATAGATAACCTTAAGACTAACATTGATACGAACACCCCAAAAAAACTTTAATTTTGATTTCATGGGGACTTTAAATATTCATCTTGCAATTGGAAATCTGTGCCACTGCAGGCAAATTTTGGAAGATATCCTTGCATATGGAATAAGAAAAAATATTATGGGAAAATACCAACCTTGGCCTCTCCAAAGACTATGTAAATATCTGAGGCAGGGCTTTTGAACACATCTGGACGTGTAATAACAAAGAGAATATTCTTGGACTTCCGAATGGTGATGCGTGTCACTCCGTGGATCTGTTTCAGCCCGAGCTTTGACATCGCCTTGTAATGATAACAACCACATGGAGGAAAAGAGAGTAGGTCAGGGAATTTGTGATCAATATAGTGAGTCTTAAAACTGCATGAAACTGGATGTGCAGTCCCACCTTTCGTGCTTTTTTCTCACTTCGACTCTGTTTGGCTCTGCTCACTGACTCATCAGCAGGAGAGTGTGATAACTATGAAAAAAAGAAGATATGAAGTATGAAGAGAGCATAGTAGGACCTAACATTGTTCATACAGTAGACTCAACTAGATTCAAAAGTGCAAAAATACAGTTTTTTTCTTTTAGAATGTTGCATGCAAGTATATCTTTGCTAATGCCTTTGAATAATGTTCTATGCTGCACTCAAAATAGTTTTTTTTGCTGCTTGTTCAATTTACTTAATTTCAACATTTACACTAGCTGTCCAGTTCCACTAGCTGATTGTAATTAAGTGTAAAGCATGTGTTCCATGTGTTTTTTTCTTTTACCAACACTTTACATGACATATGGTTAAAGCAAAGTAACATTAGTATGCTAACATGCGCTACTGTTATACTAACTAGTAGTTCATTGTAAGATACTCAACTGGGATAGCTTGACATATAATGTTGAGTTTTACTCAATTCATGTACTTTTCTGTTACACACACACACACACAGTTTGAGTAGAAAAATCACAGTTTAATTTAAATACCAAGTTCTGCCATGTAACTAGATGAGAGCAGGCTGATGAGTCCTTAACATAAACTGATGATATTCTTACCATTAAACGACTTGTCACAAGCTGATTGGTTCATGTTGCATACACATTTAGCACATTTAAATGGCTGGTTAGCATTCGCTTGAGCATTGCCGCGCGCTTTCAGAGTTCCTCTGAAACCCTCTACCTTCCCCAGCTCCACCTGTATAGATCTGCTATGGGTTATTTTATAGGCTATTTGTGCAGCAGCAGTATGTATTAAACACTCACGGCACCATATCGGCATATGTATTGGCAGTAGCAAGTTCCTGTACTTGCTTACAGCAGCAGCAGCAGCAATAATCTACAAATACAGCAATAACCAACAGCAGCAGCAATTCAGCAGCAGCAGCGTTGCAGATCTATTCCGCCAAGATTACTCAATTCATGTACTTTTCTGTTACACACACACACACACACAGTTTGAGTAGAAAATCACAGTTTAATTTAAATACCAAGTTCTGCCATGTAACTAGATGAGAGCAGGCTGATGAGTCCTTAATAGGGATGCACGATATATCGGCCACCATATCGGTATCGGCCCATATCGGCTCATTTTTTCTGTTATCGGTATCGGCCTGATAAGAAAATTTGGCCGATATCTTAAAGCCGATACCATTAAACGACTTGTCACAAGCTGATTGGTTCATGTTGCATACACATTTAGCACATTTAAATGGCTGGTTAGCATTCGCTTGAGCATTGCCGCGCGCTTTCAGAGTTCCTCTGAAACCCTCTACCTTCCCCAGCTCCACCTGTATAGATCTGCTACGGGTTATTTTATAGGCTATTTGTGCAGCAGCAG